CAGCCACATCCAATATTCAGCAGTGAAGGCAGAGGGCGAGCATCATGTGATAAGGGGCAGCGACGTCGGGTCATGTGACAGGTCCCCTTTAAATCTACCGTCATTCCAAAAACCTGTCCGCCCAGCCGCGCCGCCATCATTAGGGCGTTGAACGCGCCCCTCTCTCCTGTGTTAGGTTGGCGGCAGACGCGAGCGAGGTGGAATGGAATAGATAGCTCCGTGTTGCACAGGGGACAGGTGCTCTTTAAAGAAAAGGACGCTTGCAGCGTGTACATATACAAAAACAAACGAACGTAAAAAGGAAGCGAGAGATTCTAAAGAGAAGTGATCAATTGTAACTCCGCCCACTTTTGGACAAGCCACGCCCAATAAAAAGGCTCTCCCCCACAATAAAAAGGTATCAATGTCCCTATTATATATAATGCTGTTTGCAGCTTGTGTCCCCATTTGGGAGATACTTCCTCAGTTCCTGCTGTTGTCACCAGAACAGGAAGCGAGTGCAATCACTTCCTGTCACACTGAGACCCACGCACGGAGGCAGAGGGGTCTAGCTATTGTCCCTGTATTATATTGCCCGTGCATTGATTGTGTTTGACCATGTATGGTCACGATTGTCTGCGTACTTTCACAAGTGCCCCTCCCCCAACGACCCACCTTGACAGATTTGGTGGCTGTCTAGAAACATGACAGAAATCCAATGGGTGTCACCGATACAGGAAGTGAGGGGAAATCTCCCCAAAAGGGGACACAGTCTTTTTCGCAGAGGATGCTCGGACACAATCACACCTCATGAAGATCTAAGTCCAGCGTCAGGCACACACATGGGCCAGTTGCCCATGCCTCTGGTATGGAGTGGGGGGAGGGGAGGAGTCAGGCAAACACATGGGCCAGCTGCACAAGTCTCTGGTATGGAGTGGAGGGAGGAGTCAGGAACACACATGGGCCAGCTGCACACGTCTCTGGTATGGAGTGGAGGGAGGAGTCAGGAACACACATGGGCCAGCTGCACACGTCTCTGGTATGGAGTGGAGGGAGGAGTCAGGAACACACATGGGCCAGCTGCACACGTCTCTGGTATGGAGTGGAGGGAGGGGAGGAGTCAGGAACACACATGGGTCAGCTGCACACGTCTCTGGTAAGGAGTGGAGGGAGGAGTCAGGAACACACATGGGCCAGTTGCACACGTCTCTGGTATCACAGTAGGGATCAGATGAGGCTTTTTGGTCCATCTGATCGCCGTTCCCACCTCTAGAGATGAACCCAAAGCCAAGAGGAGCGAAGCGTTCCGAGCTGCAATACTAGATGTCACCTGCGGGGGCGCTGTGACCAATACTGGAACTGCACATAATGGAATAGACAGGGAAGGCAAGGAGGAGACTTAACACTGCAGTATACACTCTATCAGGGGTAGGAAAACTCAGAGGTTGTTGAGGACCTACAAGTCCCATGAGCCCTTGCAAGACTCTGACAGCCATCGGCATGACTCCCAGAGGCGAAGGCATGATGGGATTTGTGGTTTTAACACAACCGGAGTGCTGAGGTTGCCTAACGCTGAACTGTATGGTCAAAAGTATGAGGACCCCCTTCCAAATGAGGTGTCTACAGTGAGGGTTCTGCTCATCCCTACACCATACAAAGACATTGTAGACAGTTGTGGTCTTCCAGCCTTGTGGTCACAGTTTGGTGAAGGCCCTTTTCTGTCCCACCATGACTGTCCACTGTGTACATAGCCAGCTCCATAAAGACATGGCGTGACAAGTTTGGTGTGGAGGAACTCGAGTGTCCTGCACAGAACCCTGACCCCAACCCTACTGATCACCTTTGTGATGAAGTGGGGACAGGTCTTGGTTCCTCCAGAGAAGTGGAAGACTGGTTGGCAGGAGATCTGTTCTCCACTGCTCTCTTCCCCTAGGAACGTCTGGAAGAACCCCAGGAGGAGAAGACCTGGCTGGCACCCGGCATTCCAATTAATCTCAGAGGTGATCTATTGAACACGATTGGGAGGAGCTGGAACGCTAATGGTGAGCCAGGTCTTCTCGTCCACCATCAGTACCTGACCTCACCAATGGCCACAAATTCCCACAGACACCCTACGGAATCTTAAGGAAGCCTTCCCAGAAGAGTGGGGGATGTTATAGACAAAAAGTGGGGTCAACTCTATATTAACAGCCATGGGGAGGGTCAACTTCATAATAATGGACATGGGTAGGGTCAATTCCATAAGAATGGCCATGGGTAGGGTCAACTCCATAATAATGGCCATGGGAAGGGTCAACTCCATAATAATGGCCATGGGAAGGGTCAACTCCATAATAATGGCCATGGGAAGGGTCAACTCCATAATAATGGCCATGGGAAGGGTCAACTCCATAATAATGGCCATGGGAAGGGTCAATTCCATAATAAAGGCCATGAGAGGGGTCAACTCCATAATAAAGGCCATGAGAGGGGTCAACTCAATAATAATGGCAATGGGAAGGGCCAACTCCATATTCATGGCCATGAGAGGGGTCAACTCCATAATAATGGCCATGAGTAGGGTCAACTCAATAATAATGGCAATGGGAAGGGCCAACTCCATATTCATGGCCATGAGAGGGGTCAACTCCATAATAATGGCCATTAGTAGGGTCAACTCCCTTATAATGGCCATGGGGAGGGTCAACTCCATAATCATGGTCATGAGTAGGGTCAACTCCCTAATAATGGCCATGGGAAGGGCCAACTCCATATTAATGGCCATGAGAGGGGTCTACTCCATAATAACGGTCATGAGTAGGGTCAACTCCATATTTTTGGCCATGGGTATGGTGAACGCCATAATAATGGCCATGGGTAGGGTCAACTCCATAATAATGGCCATGAGTTGGGTCAACTCCATAATCATGGTCATAAGTAAGGTCTACTCCCTAATAATGGTCATGGGGAGGGTCAACTCCATAATAATGGCCGTGGTTAGAGTCAACTCCATAATAGTGGCCATGAGTAGGGTCAACTCCATAATAGTGGCCATGGGGAGGGTCAACTCTATAATAATGGTCATGAGTAAGGTCAACTCCATAATAGTGGCCATGGGTTTGGAATAGGATGTGCAAGGAGCTCATACAGGTGTGATGGTCAGGTGTCCACCAACATTTGGTCATATGGTGCAGATGGGTCTCTATTAGGGCCCTCCTATTAATATCCAGCTGGGGGCCCCTTCGTATTAGACCTGAACCTGGAACCTCGGGAGTACTCAGGAATGATCGCAATCTGTACTGAATATATATTTTTTTCGTTCTCTGTACAAATATTCAGTTGGAATGTTGAAAGTCTCAGGCTGAGCGTAGGCGGCCAGGCGGCCAGGCGTTCGGGAGATACCACTCGACGCGGCGCTCTCCTTTTATAAAATGGCCGCCAAACACTTCACCGGTTACAGCAGTTACACAACAGAGAACCAAGATAAATAGTCCGCGGAGTGACGTAGACGAGCAGGAAAAAAAATTCCAAAAATGCACCATAAAAATATTGCACATTCTTCAGATTCTTTCTTTTTTTATCTCATTTCCCCGACAAAAAAATATTTAAAAACAAAAAGGAAAAAAAAAACTTTTCGGAAGGTTGAATATCGAAGAATAACTTATCCAGTGATCGCACCACTGCGCTTCCCCCCGGCTGTTCTCATTGGCTCGTTTCACACGTTCGGCATCTGAGGAGAAGAAGACAAAAAGCCATTATGAGGGGCTCCCACCATCCCTGTGCTGAGTTCCCGGGTCTGTACACCCGCTGTGCCCATTATGAGGAGCTCCCACCATCCCTGTGCTGAGTTCCCGGGTCTGTACACCCGCTGTGCCCATTATGAGG